GATCCTGATATACCCATGGTACGGAGGATACGGTAGCACTCCTCTAGAAATCCAAGAGCATCCTCTGAGGCTAGTCCACTGAATGTAGGAGGCTGATACTTCTTGAACCTCTCAAGCCTCTTCTGCTCCTCCTCTGAAGCTACTTCCCTCTCCTCGGGATGAGCTGGGGCTACCGGTTGTACAGGAATAATCTCTGGGACCTGATCAACATACACTCACTGCTCAGGAGTGCGGGAGGCGGGAGTCTGTGCTCCTCCCCCGGCCTGGGATGTAGCTGCAGCAAGGGGAAGCAACCCTGCCTGAGCTAGAGTAGTGTACACAGTCATAAACTGCGCCAGAGTCTCCTGGAGTGCTGGAGTAGTAGTAGTAGACGTATCAGGTGTCTGGACTCTGGCTGGAACTGCTGGTGGCACCTCAATGGCAGCTCGTGCGGGTGCTCTAGCTGTACCACGTGCGCGTCCTCGGCCTCTACCCCGGCCTTGGCTTCTGACGGCTCCAGTAGGGGGCGCGTGTGCCTAATCATCTCGGGTAGCATGTGTCCTCACCATCTATGAGAGAATAGAAGACAGAGGTTTAGAATTGTGATATAAAAAATCTCGCACGACAAGGAAATCAAATGAAGTGGAACTTTCCTAACTGTTACATAGCCTCTTGTAGATAAGCACATACGTCTCCGTACCGATCCGCGAGACTCTAATAAACCGGCTTGTGATTCATGACTCCTATGAACCTAGAGCTCTGATACCAACTTTTCACGACCCCAATTCGCCCTCCGTGAACTGTCGTGACGGCACCTAGTCGCTACGACTAGGTAAGCCTAACAATTGCAGAAAAAGAAACAAATTGCAGAAGAAAGTAAGTAAAAACTGAGATAACAAGGTTAAACAGTGTTAAAGATGCCGCATGGCATATAACAGTACAAAATCTCAATCTAACACTCCCAAAAGCTGGAACCCCATGAATCACAAGCTAAAAGATTACATAATAAGCTCTAACTCCAGAATGTCTACCAACAAGAGAAAATACAGAAAGGGCTATACTAGTACTGAGAATAGAAAGGGACTCTTCGGTCTGCGGACGCGGCAGATATACCTCGGAGTCTCTACAAAACGCCTTGCCTCAAGCGTGATAAGTCTGAGTGGGAGTACCTGGATCTGCACATGAAAAACATGCGCAGGAAGGGCATGAGTACACCACAGCGGTACTCAGTAAGTGCCAAGCCTAACCTCGGTCGGGTAGTGACGAGGAAGGTCAGGGCCCTACTGAGGTTAAAGGAAATACAAGATATAACAGTGTAGAATAAGATAGTATACTTAAGTGAAACAGTAAAAGTAACACAGGATAAAAGAGCAACAACAACTTTAACAGAGACATATAAATCACGGAAATAAATACAGCTCAACGCAGAGATAACAACCGGGGGGATCTCTCAGTATCCCGAGGATCTCCTAGTATCCTCAATATGTGTATTGGGGATCTCTCAGTATCCCGAGGATCTCTTAGTATCCTTGATATATATGCTGGGGATCTCTCGGTATCCCAAGATCTCTTAGTATCCTCAATATACGTGTTGGGGATCTCTCGGTATCCCGCACTACAGTCCAAATCAATGCAGGTGCAGGGGATTTCCCGGAATATGAATCCGTAGTCCCAAAGTAAACAAGCAGGGGGATCTCCTGGGATACCGTCCCGTAGTCCCAAAGTAAACAAGCAGGGGGATCTCCCGGGATACCGTCCCGTAGTCCCAAAGTAAACACACAGCAGCAACACGAAGAATACTCAATTCATTTCTAATTTCATAGCAAGGTAAGAACAGGTATTTCTAGCCTAGCATGCCACACATAATCCAAATAAGGCAGTTTAAGCAAATAAGGCAATTAAGACAATTAGACATGCTTCCCCAAGCTAATAGCAGGCTTAAATTACACACGGTATGAACAGGAAAAAGGAAATCACATTTATAGTTACTTAAAGAAAATGGATTTTCAACAATTAGCACAAGTACGTACTGGTCATCTCACGTACAAAGCATTTCAATTATCAACAAACCAAATCCTAAGGGAAGTTTCCCCCACACAAGGTTAGACAAACCACTTACCTCGAACCGACTCAAAATCAACCCGAAACCACGTTCTTGCCACGAGTACTCGACTCCAAATGGCCAAAATCTATTCAATTCAATTGCATAATGTAAATAACACTTCAAGTAATTGATTCTACGAATAAATTCTAAGCGAATACGCGAAATTAGATAAAATGACCAAAATGCCCTCCGGGCCCACGTCTCGGAATCGGGTAAAATTTATATTTTCAAAATTCACATACTCTCACGAGTCTAACCATACCAAAATTATCCAAATCCAATGTCAAATTCTCAATCAAAACTCAAAATTTAGGTCTAAGAACCTTCTTCAAATTCCCCCCCCCCAATTTTCATCTCAAATCCGAAACTAAACGATAAAACCAACAATAGATTAATGGAATACAACTAGGAAGGGATAAGGAATCGTTACCCACTGATTTACTCTTCAAAAATCTCCCAAAATCGCCCTCTCCCGAGCTCCAAATCAATTTTCTAACTTTTGAAACTAAACCCTCGAAATTCTGATTTTTCTGCCCAGTAAATCCACATCTGCGACTCTGGGCCGCACCTGCGGTCCCACTTCTGCGGAACACAAGTCGCATCTGCGACGTTTCATTGAAGCTAAATTTTTGCACCCGCGGCTCCTTTGCCGCACCTGTGGTCTCGCAGGTGCGTTGACCATTTCGCACCTGCGATTTGCTGGAGCCTGGCCAATCTCGCTTCTGCGATCACATAGCCGCTTCTGCGGCGGCGCACCTGCGGTCCCACACACGCAGGTGTGGTTATGACAGGAAACACAGCTTCAGCTACCAACTTCAAATGCCTAACTCTCCGTCAACCATCCGAAATCTTCCCGAGGCCCCCGGGACCTCAACCAAAAGCACGAACAAGTCATATACCACTATCCAAACTTATACCAACCCTTAAAACACCTAAAACAACATCGAAACATCGAATCATCATCGAATTCAAGCCTAAGAATTCCAAAATCTTCTGAATTACGCTTTCGATCAAAAAGTCTATCAAACCTCGTCTGAATGACCTGAAATTTTGCACACACGTCACATTCAACATTACGGAGCTACTCCAACTTTTGGAATTCCACTTCGACCCTGATATCAAAATCTCACTATCGAACCGGGAACTTCAAAAATTCAACTTTCGGCATTTCAAGCATAATTAAGCCGCGGACCTCTAAAACACAATCCGAACACGCTCCTAAACCCGAAATCACCCAACGGAGCTAACGGAACCAACGAAATTCCATTCTGAGGCCGTCTTCACACTGTTCCGACTACGGTCCAAATTCTAAAACTTAAACTCTCATTTAGGGACTAAGTGTCCCAAAACTCTCCGAAACTCCAATTACATCCTCCCGGAAACTCACAAAAGCAGAAACAAACATGGGGAATGCAGTTAATAGGGGATCGGGACGTAAATTCTTAAAACGACCGGCCGGGTCGTTACAATAAAATAACAGGTCACTCCTCAACTACAGTGTTTGACTATACCGCTCCCCTCATTGGCTTAATTTCTTTCTTTTTTCTTTTTGTTGCGAGAAGAGGGTGAAAATGGGGGAGATGAGTTAAGATTTTATCAAAGAAATCGTCTTTAGCATTACTTAGCATCTTACTAATGTTCACAAATCACTGTTGGATAAATTTTGAGCACACCATCTTTCATTAAGTTTCAGTAATATTCTATTGTTTATGCGTGAAAATGACTTCTCTAAGCCCTTCTGTTAATGTAGAGTAATTTCTGCTGCATTCTTTATGCCTAACAAAGACTTGCTTATAGTGCTATTCTAGGAAATCTATATGTTTCAATTAGGTTCTGAAATTTCTCCTATTATACAATATGCTTTTCGATATAAACTACTGGTGTACTTCAATGGAAAAAACGCTAGCATAAGGTTCCAATACTTATATATTTCTATGTCGCTCTTACATTCACCCTCTTCTTTGTAGTTTGCCTGTATATACGTCTTTTGAAGCTATGTAAATACGTGTTTCAAACTCGCCAGCTTGTGTATGACAGGTACCGCAAATAACAGCCTACTACTTTTTTTATCTACCAAATTACTTTGTCAGTTGTCATTATTGACATCATTTTGTTTTCCAATATTGCAGAAAACATGGACAATGCGCTTCACTTTATGTAACTTACTGGCATGTACATTTATATTTTTGTTAGCGTAAAACAAAATGGTTCTGTAACTGATGTAAATAGAGCTTGCTGAAAGATTCACCAGTAAATATGATCTCCTTTTTTGCTTGAATTTATTTTCTTCGTTTCATGATCTATTCAAGTTTCTAAATAGAAACAAAGTCATTGTTTGTTCCACTAGAAATATAAAATCTACAACATTATTTAAATTGTTATAAGAAACAAGTAATACGCAACGAGTTTTATGCAGTTAAATCACTCCCTTTTTTATAACCGGGAATTCTTCTGCTATTCGTCTCAATTTTTTCATGATAACTTAAAAGGGATTGCAATATTGCTACTACATTAACGATAATATGCGCTATCAGAAAATGCGTTAAGGATACAAATAAAAGCGCATAAGGAATTCATTTTTAGTTGCTTCTACTACATAAATATTGATTGCCTATTGATCAATAGTCTTTATACCCATTAAATTTATTTGAGTTTACATATATGTAAAAGATCCTTACTTTGAACTTCTTAGAGAATAGTTCTACTAACTAATAAAACGTTGTCATTGGAATTATATTTGAATAAGAAATAAACAGGTACATTTCAAATTTGCATTTGACCACAATATATACTATAAGTTATTCTCTATCAAAAAATTATTCATTATTTCATCAAAAAGTATCAGTTGCTAACTTATGAAGTTTGGGCCCGAGCCTCACTAGTAGATTATATATATATATTGTTATATAAATATTTTGGTTAATTCTTCAACCTAAAATCCGAGGTTCGCATTGGGTGTGTCCGAACCGAATCTAACAGGAAGAAACGCAGCTGTCAGACTTGGTACAATTAACTTCTGCATTCATCAGACAGAGCGAGAACAAAGCATCTACGATTGTCATCAAATTCTCCGGCAAATCACAAAATGGAGGGTTGGGATCCGAATACGAAATCAACCCTCACGCAGATCCCGTTGTTGACCACCAAAGCCGGTCCACGCGACGGCGCGGCATGGACAAGCCGTTTAAAGGAAGAGTACAAGGCCCTAATCGCCTATACATCAATGAACAAATCCAAAGACAACGATTGGTTCCGTATCTCTGCAGCTAATCCTGAAGGTACTCGTTGGAAGGGTAAGTGTTGGTACGTGCATAACCTTCTCAAGTACGAGTTTGATCTCCAGTTCGATATTCCTGTTACTTATCCAGCCACTGCTCCTGAACTCGAATTGCCTGAACTCGATGGCAAAACTGAAAAGGTTACCTCTTTTTTCTGTGTCTTCTGATTATATTTCATTTAGAGATGAATTTAGGATGGCCAAAAACCCTAATTTATCTTAAAAACAAATTGTTTAGCGGTATTGAAATGAATTTGTGTGTGAGTAGAGTGGAATAGATAGAGAAGATTTGTGTAGCTGACTCGAATTAGTTTGGAATTGGGGTGTAGCTTAATTGATATGTATGATTGATTATTATTGTTATTTTTTTTTGATTGTGTAGATGTATAGAGGAGGGAAAATATGCTTAACGGTGCATTTCAAGCCGCTTTGGGCGAAGAATTGGTAAATCTTCTTCTCTTTGATTTGGATTGAGGTTGGATTGCTGTGAATTTTTGATAATTCATAATGGTCTGTGCTCACTTAAAGGGGGGGTGGGGGGGGGGGTGATTAGTAATAGTCTTTGTTGTGTAGTTGATTGTTTTGGGTGTTCCGGGTTCTGTTAGTTCACCTGGGCTCCATTTTTTTTAAATTTTTTTTAAGTACCGTGGTGTATGGACTAGCTTGCAACTTGCGGAATCTTCAATGGTAGACAACAACATACAATTTGTTTTTTTTTTTTGGATTGGTCCGTTTTGGTTTCCGATCCTTCCCAATTTCGGGGACTGCACTCGTTATGCATTCAATCTGGCAATGTGCCTTGATAAAAGAGAAGTGCTGCTGTAGATGGACAACCAATATACATATGCACATACACGCATGTGCGCGCACACACACATACATACATATGATTTGGGACTCCTAGATAGAGCTTAATAGATGTAGAGGATTCATATAGCGTACCAGTGGTATAGTTGATCGTTTAACTTGGTTTTAAGTTTTTGGAAGGACAACTGCTTGTAGGATCAAGTTCATTATTGAGTGAGAACTTAGGAGAATATGGATTGAATGAATATAATTTCTCTAAGATGCTTAGGTTTCCCTGGGTAGATAAAGCTACAGTCTTTGCCTCAAATTTTTGTTACTTTATTATCACTTTATGGGAAGTGAAAGAGTGACTTAAACTGACTTTGGTATTCATTCAGCCCCAGATTTGGCATAGCACATGCGCTCTGTTTGGGTCTTGCACCATGGCTTGCAGCGGAGATTCCTATTCTTGTTGATTCTGGCATGATTAAACACAAAGATGACGTGGCCTCATCCAGTGAATCTTGACAAGGAGATGAATTTAAAGTATTGATGAAACGTAATCTCAGGATACAACTGTAAACTTTATGGACGTCTTTGAAATTGTACCTTTTCCCCTCAAATCCATCATAAAATGAATAATATTGCGGAGTCAAAGTTTCATGTGCTTTATGCCCTCAATTTGTTTGGACTAGTGGTTCTGTTCCTTCTTTACATGAATGATATTGAGCAGGCAAAATGTCATGTTATTAGAAACTGTTGCTTTTGCCAGATTGTATTAGAGCCTCGTGAAACAGGAACTTTGAGATGCTACTGTTATTTGCTGAGTTAATTGAACATCAGCATTATGCCTCAATTTTTGGATTAGTGATGCCCGTCCTGTTATTTTATGAATCACATTGAGGAGGCAAAATTTCATGTTATTTGAGCCTTGCGAAATCTGAACTTTTAGATACAGCTGTCATAATTGCTGAATTCTTTGACTTGTGCTTTATGCCCTCTAATTTAGTAGGACTATTGGTGCCCTTCCTGTTTTTGTCATGAATTATATTGAGGAGACAAAATTCCTAGTTATTCAAGCTTTGTGAAGTTGGAATTTTGAGATGCAATTGTCAAATATGCTGAGTTCTTTGAGTGTGTGCTTTATGTCCTCAAATTTTATTTGGTCTAGTTGTGCTCTTCTTGTATCTTCATGAATCATATTGAGGAGGCAAATTTTATTGTTATTAAAGCCTTGTGAAACCTGAACTTTGAGATACATCTTTCATACTTGCTGAAGTTTTTGAATGTGTGGTTTATGCCCTTAAACTTATTTGGACCAGTAGTTTCCTTCCTGTTGCTTCATGATGAATCATTCTAAGGAGGCAAAATTCTCATGTTTTACAAGCCTTGTGAAACCTAAACTTTGAGATGCAACTGTGCTATTTGTTTAGTTCTTTAGTGTGCACTTAATTCTCAATTTTTCGGATTAGTGGTGTGCCTCCTGTTTTTTCATAGCCCCTTGTTATGGATAATAATAATCCTTCTTCAGATGTTTGGTATTTGCATCTGCTTTCCTATCCCAACCTTCCAAAATTGGGCAAACTGATGGCTCTATGTGATTCTATTCAGTTACTTTTTTGCTTTCCTTTCATTTCCTTTATATGTTGTCCTTGGACTATGATATGGTGTTTGTATAGCACTAATAGTCTTCCCAGATCAATTGGTGTCAAAGGCTGCTTCAAATGTGAGGCATTGGAGCTCCTTGAAGGCTGCGGGAAACCTGTAATTTTTGATACTTGTTACTACCGAGTACCTATTGCTTGCGTTGTATGTTGTCCATATGACTTAAGATGACCAGTTCTCTAAGAGTTGGGGTGCTTTTGGAAAATGAAATCCAACAATTTGGGAATATCTTTTACGCTAGAGTCAATCAATCTACCTTGGACGCTTACCTTTTTCTCATTTTTTTTTTGTTTGTCTACCTTGGGACCAATGTGTCATATTGAAGTTTTTCTGTATTTTCAATGTTAATAAGCCTCAAGGTGCTTATAATTTCTCTCTTACTGGTGTGAAGACTTATCCTCTGGTTACATTCTTTCAGTAGTCACTTGCAGATGTCTTATATAGCATTGGCTAGTGTTGTTTGGATATTATTTCATTCTCTCCCATCTTTGAAATTTGTCAACTTTGCACCAGTAGCATCCCATGGTGACAAACAGCTTGTCAGCAGTTTAATCTCCTACATGATACCTGTTACGCGGCGTCTTCCTGAGATTCCTTGGAAGGGCGACGTAAGGCTAGGCAACTGATGTCAGTGCAGTTGCTGTCCGCCAACTGAGGTCCCCTCCGTACGCTAGACGAGATTGTCAGTGCCGTACGGGAAAACCAATGTTAAGAGCAATTGAGAGAACAGAAGTGAGAATTCAGAATGAAAGAAAGCTTGATTGCATTAATGAAAGCTATTACAGAAAAGCAACGCGGTGTCGAGGGGGAGAGACACCAGTACAGAGAATTGCTTGCTTGCTAGAAAGTTTTGATTGCTTGATCCCCCTAATAGTACTTAAAAAAAATAATCCAAAGTTACAAGACTAGACTTGACTAAGCTAGAGAAACATAATGGAAGTACATGAAATAAAACTACTCTATATTTACAATGAAAATGACTTAGTTTTCTATAAGGCAGCAGCAGGTCCGTTGTCAGCAGCAGTGTCTTTGGCATCACGGTCTGCGCGCGCGGCGTTGTCTGCGCGCGCGCGC